TCTTCAAGTTTTTGTCTTTACTGGTGTGTGAATTCAAAACAAAACCCAAATCTCTTACAGTCACAGGCCTCTCGTTACACTCAATAAAACATTGCTCAGTTTCCCACCTCTCTTGGGAAATTTGCCGTGTAACAGTCATCCCACAAACCACAAGGTCTCCTCAGCACACACTCAGATGTACACTACAGTGTTAATTTCCTCAGTCACACCATAAAGACTGTGTGCTCAGCTATAACTGCTCAGCACACCAAACTGCACACAAATCATAACTGAGCTCTTCTTTATTAAGATGGCTGTAACCTCTCAGTCTGTGTGCAAGAGAGCCTCAAGGTCCCAGCAGGCTACCGCATAACAAGAGAGAGGTGGGATTAGTGAATGTACAACACCTGTGCCGATCAGCCCTCCCTCAGACCACTCCCTGAGCAAAAACCACAACCTGCCACTATAATCTGTCTTTATGATTAACTTTGTTTTTTGTTTTGTTTTGTTTTTGCTGTTTTTTGTAGCTTAGGGTTGGAGGCGAGTCTGTTTTAATCTGGCATGTCCGTGGGGTGGGCATCATTTTGCAGACAACAGTTAGCAACAATAGTTATCTCAACACACTTTGTGGTAGAAAAACAATATTAAACAGAGACAAGACTAAATTAACAATCTCCTATGAAGGCACTTGGTGATGGTGGTAAGAAAGAACTGCCTTGTAAGAGGAAGAGGACACCAGAGGATTGCATAGGGTAAACACAATAACAAACAGGACATAACACAAATTACAAGCAAGAGTAGATCAAATTTAATGGTGTGCAATAGTAGCACAAAAGGGGGAAGTGGTCAAGCCCAGTGCATTATGGGAAATCATCCAGTCTCTTGAGCCTACAATAATAACAACTTAAGCTGTGAACCTAATCCCAGCACTATCACCGCCAATGACAAAATATTCCAAAACAGTTCTCTGGAAGAGAAAGTCATAAAGGTAGAAAGAGTGTCTGCCTGGTTTCACAGGATAAGGGGCTTGAGCTCAAAGTGGGCATGAAATGCTTGTACTGTCCATAATTTAAAACATAAATGTATTACAGTTTTCACACTGTATGGTCTAAAAAGTGGGCTCAGTGTCCTGGCTATAGCAATTACAAAAACCAAGGAAAGACTGTTAGCTTTTACTCCATGCCTCAAAAGTGGCAAGTGGTTCTTCAACACTGGCTAGCTGGAAAAGTGACCTGATGGATGTTAAGACCTACAGTAGCTAAAGATGAGGCCCTGAGAAAAGTCATTAGACCTACCGAGACACTAACTAATGCTACACTCACTGTACTTTTATTATCAGTTGGAATCTTTTTCAGTTCACTCACAAACAAAAAATAAGTTCACTTCAATAACTGCAGATTTTATGTGCAGTATTAACCAAAGATGAGAGAACTGAATATGTTCTCACTGTATTCTTGGCTGACGCAAATTGTTATAATATCAGTTCCAGTTTTTGATATTACAGCTGATGATGTCGTTGAGTGTTAATGCAGCTTAACAAAACACTGATTATAATACATCCAGATGTTTCTCTCTGTTTTTCTGCAGGTGAACCTGATGCAGCATGACTGTTAGTATGTTAGAATATAAACTTTCTCCTGCAGATTTTCCTCTGCAGAAGCTGCTGATGAAGACTTTTGCAATCATATTTATGGAAAGCCTACAACAACATGGAGGCTGCACTAGGCTGTAGCAAAGACACTGTGCTGGCACAAACTGTATTAAAGATGCATTTTTTAGGCTACATCGACAAAATGTTTGCTCATCAGCTGACCTGTTCACTAGATCTGGCTCCTTGCAACTTTGTCCACTTTTCCAAAATTAAAATTGCTCAACTTACTGGACACGATCCAGCTTACACCATAGAGGCAAAAGACATTGTTTAATTTTTACTGGCCCTTTCTGATCACAACTTATTAACTCATTTTCACTTTTCATTGGAAACGTTTGAGCTTATTAATGTTACTGCTCTCTTGGTATCCCAAAGGAGGGGCATGTTCAACACTGCAGAACCCCCTGATGAGGTGCTTTTTGCAAACTAGTACTGACAACCACAAAAAAATCAGTGCTGCTAGAGATGGAAGCAGAACAGGTTGATTTTTTTTTTTTTGTTCTCTTTAAAGTAAACGCTGTGGTGCTTTTCCACTTGGATCACTGAGCAATTTTATATCAGTGTTTTTAGTGAATGCAAAGTACGAGTGGGACTCCAACACTAAGCTGGAGCATTGTGTGTGTGGTGCTTCAGGGACAAGGCTTCATAAAAATGCTCTGCACTTCCTTCTTTTCTTTACTATCCACCACAGAACAAACCTGAACACTGAAATTTTCACACTGTTGGCGACATTTCAGCCAGATGAGTCCGGAAGGAAGTTACAAAAAGAATTTCTCTACTACTGCAGTGCTGCTTGTTTTGGCAAGAATCACTCAGCTAAAGATGTAAATAATGCAATGTTTCAAGAATGACAATTATATTTATTATGTTTTACTGGTGACTGGAGTTTGTAAGCAGTACAATTTATTTGTTAGTGCAAACAAAATTAAGACCTTTCTCTCCCTCTCTATCTATCTATCTATCTATCTATCTATCTATCTATCTATCTATCTATCTATCTATCTATCTATCTATCTATCTATCCATCTATCCATCTATCTATCTATCTATCTATCTATCTATCTATCTATCTTCTTACTATAATGATCATTATGTATGTTTGCATATATGTACACTATTTCTTCCTCAATGTGCAGGCCAATCTCCACAAAACTGTTCGTGAATATTGTCACACATACAGCAATTATTCAAATCTATAAAAAAAAAATTAAATAAAAGATTTATTATAATATTATATTTGTATAAATCATCCCCCTGCAAATGCAACGTTTTATTCTCTGTTTGTATTTTTTTCCACAGGTCACGTTCAACAGACATCGCCTGCACTTAATGTCACGATCACCAACATCTGTATCCGTGACAGAATTTTGTTCTTGTCGCCACTACATATGGAATAAAGACAGAGCGCTGTAATTTCGAGTAATAATAACTAAAGTAACTTAACCTTTTAACTCTTCAGAACTCTTCAATGTCTCTTTTTATACGAGACATTGTATGTTGAGTTCGGCTTTTGAACCAGCTGCTTAAAGTCCTCCTTTACTACCATGTAACTGCATTACTAATTTCCATGCACTATTTTGTTCTTCCTGTCATATTCAGCCTAACGAGAGAGTTTGATGGAGTAATTTATATACTTTTAGGCCACATACCATCAGCTGCTTGTATCATCTCTTCACATGCCGTCATAGCCTGGTTGTACTGTTTCCACCTTAGGCAGGAACAGTTTTCTTGCATATTTTACAAAGCTTTGTGCTTTGTTAGCAATTGCTGATGAAACTCCTGTTTTCCTGACTTTGTCTCCTGTCACGTGTATTATGCAAGTAAACACTTGGCATTGTTATAACATTGTAATATGACACTTTTATATCACATAAATACTTCATATTATCACCAATAATATCACGAATAATCTGATATGATATATGACATATACTGATATAGTGACTGCTAATAAGAGATAGATTCTTCCGACTATCTAGACTACAATATCTGAAGATCCGTTTAAAGTGAAAGATCTCAGAGGATAGGAGAATAGAAAAGGAACATTATCAAAGATGAAGAATTTGATAAGTAAAGAAAATAAGGGATCCACCAGCAATGACCCTGTTATAAGAAAGTTGCAGGGGTCTCAGAGGGTGAGTAGCAGTATCTAAACCACTTCTTAGGTGGGGAAACAAGATCAAATGCTTAAAGTAAACTAAAAAGAAATAGATGATGGTAATATGATGGTTAGAGGTTAAATGCAGTCACAGAGCAGATGAATCCAAGACAAAGTTAACAGGAGAAAGAATGACAGCACACAGTGAAACACGGTACAAGGTTACTGAGTCCTCCAGAGGAACAAATGAACTCTACCCTCATTGTGTGAGTACCACCCCCCTCAGAAAAGATCAATAACTTCATTCTTTTCATTGCAAATAATAAAAAGCATCAGAAAAACATTTGTTTTCCCGATTGTTGTCTTTTAGAGTTGCAAAGAGACTTTTCTAGCTCCTGCTTGAATCTAATCAAATTTTGGTCAAGTTTTAATTTCTAATCATAATTGTAATAAAAGTGTAATGCCCCTGCATTGAGAGAGTGGAGCTTTGCACAAGCCTAAACCCTGTGTACCTGCGGGGTCACATTATGTCATATATTTTCTTAACACAACAGAGATCAGCATACAAATATCAAAACTACTTTTTAACAAGGACTAAAAATAGTCCAGAACATTAGTAAAATAAACACTTTGTATTATTGTGTCTGTTACTGATAAAACCTGCACATCAGTCTAGAAATGAAACACTGCAATAGTAGAGCGACCAGACCAACAAAATAAATGTCACAATTGCTAAGAATGAAGTTTAATAACTTGCCATGACATTCATTAGATTTCCTTGCACGGTCTGTGTACAGAACCGTACAGTCGCTCTGTGTGTGGCACGATGGATAGACAGGTAGAGTGTTTCATCTCTGAGATTGTTTCTGATTGCTTCGGTTTCCTACAGCGAAAAACATCGAAGCTCTGCTGGAGCTCAGACTGCTTCCTGAGCGCCCTATCCCGCCCGGACGTCCCGACCAGGGTCCGTTTCTACTGATGTTGATTCATTTGTTTTACATCTCTGGCCTTAATTTACCATATCATCATCATACCGTAACCATATCACTGCTGCACAAGCGCTGCACAGACGACTAAAACCGCGGGACTGCATGCACAAATGTTTCCCTGTTAGTGTCTCCGGGTACTGAAACCACAGAGACAGAAACCTTTCAGTACATTTTTTCCCATATTGTATCTGACCTGTTGAGGCACTCTGGCTCCTAAGTTTGACCACAAACATACACAGGCACATATGTATGTAACTATGTAACCAGAAAACAGAAACACTACCTTCCCTCAGGATTTGGCTGTGGAGGAGCAATAGGAGCAGGAAGCAGACCGCGGCGGCAGTCAGAGCCCAGGCCGGCCGAAGGAACTGCATGAGGTGAAGAATGTGTGGGCAAAAAACTCCAAACTGTCCTCAGGCTAGTGCCTCCTCACGACGCCACATCCATCCACATTCGACCAAGAGGAGGACAGAGAGAGGAGACACCTCTCATCTTCGAGATATGTATTCACAAACGGGCCTGAAGTGACAGATCCTCAGTGTAGGAGATCTGGGATCTGAGATCCACTACACGAGAAATCACAGGGTCCTTACAGAGCTGCCCGGCGGTCCCTGCGGGTAGCAGCAGCTTTTGATGTGGGAAGTCCTCCGCTGCAGAATCACAATCCAATAAGCTTCAAACTAGAAGTTTTCCAGCTTTAACCTGCAACTTACGGCTCGGTGTCCTTTGGATCCATTGACTAACTCGTCCACGTAAAATCCGCCAAAGATTAAACAACAGACACCGGGTCCAAACCGAAGCGCCTCGGGGGGCATACTTTACGCTTCTCCGCGGGGTTTGTGATCCTGGTCGGTGCCTCGGTGCTTGCCTGGCGATAAGTGATGAGCACGGAGAAGGATGAAGAGCAGGTAATGTGTGCAGGTCTGTGTACACCCCCCCAACACACAACACACACACACACCACACACACACACACACACACACACACACACACACACCACACACACCACACACACACACACCGACACACGCTCTCTCTCTCTCTCTCTCTCAGTCACATACGAGCTGACGTCACACCAATTACAAAGACCACTATGGAGGAAAAAAAAGCGTACACAGTATTTAAGACAACCAGACTGAGTGAGGCTACTTCATGATGGACAGGAACGGAATCAGAGCGTCCCTGACCTCCGGGGAGGACTCTGACGTTTGTGTGGGGTGGGATTAAATTGAATTTATCGGTCAATAAATTCAGATTCATGAATAAAAAGTCTCATCACTTGTAAAAGATTATTGTAAATTACTGCTATTATTCCATTATTGGTATTTGGTATCTCAGTTTCCACAGGACGCAAACACAACCTGGAAACTGAAAGCGTCTTCTTAAGGCTTCAACTTGTTTTAATAATGTATTTTTTTTATAATAAACAGAACATTTTTTATTCATCATTTATTTTATTTTATTTTTTTATTTTCATTGAAATAAAAAAAAATATCACGTGTTCAGAGAAATTAAGAGGAATCTCCATTGCAAGTAAAACTATTTGCAAGCCTACTTTAGTTAACATTGGCATGTTGGTATTTTTTAAATTGCAGAACAAAAGTATGTTTACAGTATCGTCCTTATTTTGTTATATATACGACAGTAAACACATGAAAAATAGCAGAAATGTCAGAAATATGTTTTCGTGTATTTATTTATTCATTATACATTCATTTAGAGCAGGGGTGAGATGTTTTCCCAGGGGCCACATGAGAAACTGTGGACTGTCTGATAGGAAAGGCTTCTCGTGTGAATCGCTTTGGTAAACATTATAGTTGGAATGTTCTGCGAGGGTTCGGCGAGCCTTCAGTTCCACCGCTCAAATTAACGGTCCTCGGCAGAGTCTCCAGCCGGAGCTGTCGCCGCTCCGGAGATGTTTAGTAGTGTGCACCGGTAGCTGCCACAAGCTCGAGCTGTTACACTGCTGTGTTAAAAGTATGCAGTGTCACACAACTCGTGGTATTTTACAAGCCGTTTTTAGCAGCTGGTCAATGTATTTTTCATCTTATTTATTCACTTTTTTTTTTACAAGTGAATAACTTGTCACTGGCAACACTTCAAGCTCCTCCCCGCCGATCTGCTCCAGTAAAGAGGAATCAAGCTCCTAACTCTGAATCACTGTCCATACCACTGCTGCTAATTATTAATCACCTCACAAATATTAGCATCCATCAGCAATCAGTATACAAGAAAAATACTTTTAAACAGATTTAAAAGGTAATCAGTTAAATATAAATACAAAAGTAGCATATGTAGGGTTAAGTACACTGTAAAAAAATCGTGATATAAAAGTATTTTACTGTGTATTTTACAGTTTTGTACTGGTCTTCTAGAATATCATTAAATTCACATAAATAGACTGTGATTTTACATTTCAAATGTAAATTAACGTAAAATCACTGTTTTAGCCTGTTTTAGCCTGCTGTGTTAGGATGGTGTTAGGATGCCTGATCTGCCTGATCTGCTCGCTCGCCGTCGGTGCCTCCCGCCCGGCCGGCCTCCTGATCTGCTCCGTCGCCACCGGTGCCTCCCGCCCGGCCGGACTCCTGACCTGTTTTCCGGGCTCTTGGACCATCAGCCTCCGGGCCGCCCCCCTGACCTGCCCGGGTTTGGACTGTTGTGCCGTTAGCCTCCGGGCCGGCTCCCTGAACTTTTTTGAGACTATTGCCTGGGCCTCTGCGCCTTTCGTGAGCTCTTTTGTTTGTTTGCTTTTGGACTAAGAGAGATCACATACCATCAGCTGCTTGTATCATCTCTTCACATGCCGTCATAGCCTGGTTGTACTGTTTCCACCTTAGGCAGGAACAGTTTTCTTGCATATTTTACAAAGCTTTGTGCTTTGTTAGCAATTGCTGATGAAACTCCTGTTTTCCTGACTTTGTCTCCTGTCACGTGTATTATGCAAGTAAACACTTGGCATTGTTATAACATTGTAATATGACACTTTTATATCACATAAATACTTCATATTATCACCAATAATATCACGAATAATCTGATATGATATATGACATATACTGATATAGTGACTGCTAATAAGAGATAGATTCTTCCGACTATCTAGACTACAATATCTGAAGATCTGTTTAAAGTGAAAGATCTCAGAGGATAGGAGAATAGAAAAGGAACATTATCAAAGATGAAGAATTTGATAAGTAAAGAAAATAAGGGATCCACCAGCAATGACCTGTTATAAGAAAGTTGCAGGGGTCTCAGAGGGTGAGTAGCAGTATCTAAACCACTTCTTAGGTGGGGAAACAAGATCAAATGCTTAAAGTAAACTAAAAAGAAATAGATGATGGTAATATGATGGTTAGAGGTTAAATGCAGTCACAGAGCAGATGAATCCAAGACGAAGTTAACAGGAGAAAGAATGACAGCACACAGTGAAACACGGTACAAGGTTACTGAGTCCTCCAGAGGAACAAATTAACTCTACCCTCATTGTGTGAGTACCACCCCCCTCAGAAAAGATCAATAACTTCATTCTTTTCATTGCAAATAATAAAAAGCATCAGAAAAACATTTGTTTTCCCGATTGTTGTCTTTTAGAGTTGCAAAGAGACTTTTCTAGCTCCTGCTTGAATCTAATCAAATTTTGGTCAAGTTTTAATTTCTAATCATAATTGTAATAAAAGTGTAATGCCCCTGCATTGAGAGAGTGGAGCTTTGCACAAGCCTAAACCCTGTGTACCTGCGGGGTCACATTATGTCATATATTTTCTTAACACAACAGAGATCAGCATACAAATATCAAAACTACTTTTTAACAAGGACTAAAAATAGTCCAGAACATTAGTAAAATAAACACTTTGTATTATTGTGTCTGTTACTGATAAAACCTGCACATCAGTCTAGAAATGAAACACTGCAATAGTAGAGCGACCAGACCAACAAAATAAATGTCACAATTGCTAAGAATGAAGTTTAATAACTTGCCATGACATTCATTAGATTTCCTTGCACGGTCTGTGTACAGAACCGTACAGTCGCTCTGTGTGTGGCACGATGGATAGACAGGTAGAGTGTTTCATCTCTGAGATTGTTTCTGATTGCTTCGGTTTCCTACAGCGAAAAACATCGAAGCTCTGCTGGAGCTCAGACTGCTTCCTGAGCGCCCTATCCCGCCCGGACGTCCCGACCAGGGTCCGTTTCTACTGATGTTGATTCATTTGTTTTACATCTCTGGCCTTAATTTACCATATCATCATCATACCGTAACCATATCACTGCTGCACAAGCGCTGCACAGACGACTAAAACCGCGGGACTGCATGCACAAATGTTTCCCTGTTAGTGTCTCCGGGTACTGAAACCACAGAGACAGAAACCTTTCAGTACATTTTTTCCCATATTGTATCTGACCTGTTGAGGCACTCTGGCTCCTAAGTTTGACCACAAACATACACAGGCACATATGTATGTAACTATGTAACCAGAAAACAGAAACACTACCTTCCCTCAGGATTTGGCTGTGGAGGAGCAATAGGAGCAGGAAGCAGACCGCGGCGGCAGTCAGAGCCCAGGCCGGCCGAAGGAACTGCATGAGGTGAAGAATGTGTGGGCAAAAAACTCCAAACTGTCCTCAGGCTAGTGCCTCCTCACGACGCCACATCCATCCACATTCGACCAAGAGGAGGACAGAGAGAGGAGACACCTCTCATCTTCGAGATATGTATTCACAAACGGGCCTGAAGTGACAGATCCTCAGTGTAGGAGATCTGGGATCTGAGATCCACTACACGAGAAATCACAGGGTCCTTACAGAGCTGCCCGGCGGTCCCTGCGGGTAGCAGCAGCTTTTGATGTGGGAAGTCCTCCGCTGCAGAATCACAATCCAATAAGCTTCAAACTAGAAGTTTTCCAGCTTTAACCTGCAACTTACGGCTCGGTGTCCTTTGGATCCATTGACTAACTCGTCCACGTAAAATCCGCCAAAGATTAAACAACAGACACCGGGTCCAAACCGAAGCGCCTCGGGGGGCATACTTTACGCTTCTCCGCGGGGTTTGTGATCCTGGTCGGTGCCTCGGTGCTTGCCTGGCGATAAGTGATGAGCACGGAGAAGGATGAAGAGCAGGTAATGTGTGCAGGTCTGTGTACACCCCCCCAACACACACGACACACACACACACCACACACACACACACACAACACACACACACACACACACACACACACACACACACACACGTACACCCACACGCTCTCTCTCTCTCTCTCTCTCAGTCACATACGAGCTGACGTCACACCAATTACAAAGACCACTATGGAGGAAAAAAAAGCGTACACAGTATTTAAGACAACCAGACTGAGTGAGGCTACTTCATGATGGACAGGAACGGAATCAGAGCGTCCCTGACCTCCGGGGAGGACTCTGACGTTTGTGTGGGGTGGGATTAAATTGAATTTATCGGTCAATAAATTCAGATTCATGAATAAAAAGTCTCATCACTTGTAAAAGATTATTGTAAATTACTGCTATTATTCCATTATTGGTATTTGGTATCTCAGTTTCCACAGGACGCAAACACAACCTGGAAACTGAAAGCGTCTTCTTAAGGCTTCAACTTGTTTTAATAATGTATTTTTTTTATAATAAACAGAACATTTTTTATTCATCATTTATTTTATTTTATTTTTTTATTTTCATTGAAATAAAAAAAAATATCACGTGTTCAGAGAAATTAAGAGGAATCTCCATTGCAAGTAAAACTATTTGCAAGCCTACTTTAGTTAACATTGGCATGTTGGTATTTTTTAAATTGCAGAACAAAAGTATGTTTACAGTATCGTCCTTATTTTGTTATATATACGACAGTAAACACATGAAAAATAGCAGAAATGTCAGAAATATGTTTTCGTGTATTTATTTATTCATTATACATTCATTT